TCATCTTGTCAAGGTGAGTCCATTTATACTTGCTCCATCTGCAAAAGCAACAGCTGCAGTAAAAATTGTGGATGTCTTCCCTGGACACCTCATTATTTGTAAATTGTGGTTTTACAATTGTTATTTAAACTACTTCCAAACTAAGATGGCTTAATTTACAAAAGTCTTTCTTCCCCACCCTGCCCAGACTAGTTAACTAAGGTCATGCAATACAGTGTAGGTCAAGGAAAAAATCTGCCTTTTCTGCACATAATAACACAAATAGTGTGCTGAGGTGTACATGGAAGACCCATTTTTCACTCTATTCTCCTGCTAGCATAAATAAATCCCTGTCCCTCTTGTTGAATATCATCCAAATCAGACACTGTTTCATAATTTTCCATAGAACCAAAATATTTTAACAAACAGGTCAAAACACAGAAAAATATTAGCAAACTCTCCAGATTCATAAACAAATCTGTGAGGCATACTACCTTAAATATATATATGTGCTATTTTAAATAGAAGAAAGCCTTCAGTAACTGCATGCAAATAATCAGGCTTGAAGTTTTCAGAAACTGTTTATTTCTAAAAGAACTACGGACTTCATAACTTCACCTCATTGCAGAAAGACAGGCATTTAGAAAGACCCAAAATAGATGAATTTCTCCTCAATTCCTCTGCCTTGAAAAAGTCCACATGGGAGCTTAAAATCCCTAAATAACCAGCCTTTTCCAGGTTTTACAGAAACTTCATTTTAAATCCAGGAAACCTTTCTGACAAAAGCAACAATAATAATACAAAATTTGTTCCATAAAGTTAAACCTGATTAACTGCAGCAAATTGGAAATTTCTAACAATATCATCGTTAGAAGTCTCAACAAGCTCTACTTTAAGCCTATTCGCTTTAAAACCACACCTTATATAACAGAAATCTGTTTTCATACAGGCTCTGACTTTAACACCTCAGTGATTTCATTTATTTTCCATGTGCCCCTCTGTGTTCTTTAGCTAAGAGTAATCATGCGAACCAGTTGATGACAGACCTAGTTTTTAATTAATGTTTCAACCTGTCTCAGCTGAACGTTTTAGCTACTTACTGGGCTTAAACGACAGCAAAAAGGCATCTCTCAAAATTCTTAATTTTTTCCAGGGTTTAATCTATGTTTAGGATTTTCTACAGTTATATAAAGTGAATGGGAAAGTCATATGATTGATCTAATTCTACTTCAATTTTAACAACATTCAGTGAAAACACTGGCTTATACAAAACTTGAGATGCAACAGAAATTGAACAAAATTGTTGTCACAGGACAAGTATCACATGACAGAGGGATCTCTGCTGGCTTAAGCTGGCTTTCTGGGAATGTGCTCTATATGAATTGGCGTTTGTGCTACCTCAACAAATAGCAAAGAAAGTCAGCAGAAAGCAAAAGTTCTTATAAGAAAGAATCTCTCAAAGTCAGACTCCCTCTGGCCATATGTGGATCGTGGCTACTGAATTTTATTTAATTTTTATTATCTTTCAGTATTCAGAACATATTTCTCCAGCTGGGCTGATTTTCAGTGTGCATAAACAAGTCAAATATTCTATCACTGACCTTTCCAATACTGAGCAAGGGTAGATTATGCCATTCTTACTTGCTTTGCAACTACCTCTGCACAAAATCCTGACATGACCTGGAAAAGTTGGGAAGTGAAGCAAAGGAATAGGAATACATCACTTCAGCTAGCGTAGGTTCTCCAACTGTTTGATTACGGTTTGCAAACCAGAAATGTTTTAGAACTCAGACTGAGTGTATTTTACCAATGTTAGGCTTTGTTCTGTTTTCCCAAGCAAAAGGCAGCATTCTAAACTGCTTCTAAAGCAACAGCTCCCAAAGCCCAGCTTAAGATGCCAGTGAAGACTTGACAGTTATATATCTAGGCTGCACGCTTCTTGATTTTCTTTGGGAGTTGCTCTGAGTGACATATTTGGTAGCCACAAATAAAATATCAGAAGCTAAACAAACCAAAGGCATACTAATCTGCTTCCTCAATGACCAACACATGGGAGAATGATTTAAGAATTATGTGGGGGGAGGAAAAAGCATGTCTGGCTACTTCTTGCACAGTTCCTGTCAGAGACAAGTCAAATCTTTCCAGCTGAGCAGAAGAGGCATCTATTCCTCTAACCATATCCTTCCTACATTTATAACTGTGGAGTTCTCCCTGTAGAGGAATGCAACTCCCATTTTGCTCCATCTTGGAAACATCTTTTTCAATAAAATGCTTTCCCTCCTTTTGCCACACACAGAGAATCAATTCTTTAAAATGCAGAAAACAGTCGATTTCAAGGAAATGCTTCCCTTCATCTTCAGTTGTAAGAAGTCTGAAAGCAACATATTTTAAAGACTTTAAATAAGACTTTTTGTTTGTTTTTCTTAATCCACTTTCACCTTTCCACTTGTTGAAAGAGATCACATTTATACAACTGTATGCCCTTCAAGAGGAGGAGGTAAAAAGAAAAAGAAAAAAACCCCAATCACATATGTATTCAATGCTCTCATTCTCCTAGGCATATCCCAGTACGCCTGGTAGAAATACAGATTTGTAAGCAGGCAGTACTTGTTTTGTCACAAAGAAATATATTTTGCTAGCTCACCTTGTATCTGTGCATCACACTTATTCCTTGACTATCCAGTTGCTGTAAATGAGTGATCAACATGAAATATTTCAAGGAAATACTGAAGGAAGGCATTGAGATTTATCTCAAGTTAAGAGCAGCTGTCATTAAGCTGCCACATAAGTGAGACTGCAATCTATGAAACCCAGTTCTAGAACTACTGCTCCTTCAGTAAACACTGATTAAACCATTTTGATAATAGGTTCTCCATCTGCAAAGCCTAGACACATTGGAGCTTTACACCCCATAGGTATTCTTCCATATATTCTCTTCTCCATACTCCCGTTCTTCATATCCAGAAAGTTAGGGACAAACCTCAACCACCTTTAAATGCACTGGACTTCTGAAATATGAAATGTAGGTAATCTAGATTTTATAATCAGATATAATATAGGCCTGGAATGAGAATTACAGTTACTTTGGACTCATTTCCAGACAGACAGACTTTGAAACCTTAATTATCAGTTGTGTTCTCTAAGACAAATTTAGCAGCTGCCCAAGTCTAGCTCATTATACACTTCTTTGGTTTTATTATTTAAATCTGAAATTTCCCTCGCTGTTTGTAGATCTGCTTCTCATCACTGTTAACACGAACCTGAAACCAAACCAGTGAGACATGGCTTGCAGGCATCGCTGACCTCTCCGAGGTTCAGCACACAATGCTGCAGCTCATTCAAGCACATGTGATTCAGGCTCCCCATGTGTTACAGCACTTCTCAGAGTCACAGGTCCCTAAACCTGCAGGTTTCTTCCCATTTGACCTGGAACTTCCTGCAGCTCACACCTTCCAGCAGAAAGCTGGACAGGTATTACACATGGGAACAAAAGAGCTAGAAAAGCGTACTTAAGACCTTAGAGAACTCAGTTCAGGAAACATGTTCTCGATGTTCATAGGATCCAGATTCTCATAAAATCTAACAGAGAATGGACTACAGGACTAACTGAGTGGTTACAGTTCAATCAGATCTACAGAAAAGTAAGGGATGGAATCCAGCTCTGTAGCTACCAGAACCATAAAAGTGCTTGGTTGGAGCTTTTCAAGGTAAATCTCCTGTTTCTGAAGCCAGGTAGAAGTGGGGCTAAGAGACATTTGGACTTGGGTCTTGGAATGGCAGACGCACCTGCCTATTTCTCAGACTTTAGCTGTCTAAATCTCAAAATGCAAAAGACAGCAGGATTGCATGTCTTTCTGGCATTTCTCCTTCTACCTAAACCTGAGCAGCTTGCTTTTAGTATGCCTTGTTTGTCACAAGGGGAGGAGACACACAGCAGAAGGAAGAGAAGAGATGGAAAAGAAAGGATGAGATTAAGGAATTGCTGCATCCAGTATACGATGGTTAATTATGTTCAGCAACTGTCTTCTCAATGCTCCAGTTTCAATCACTGATTTGACTTTATGTTTTCACCTGACAAAACTTTTTTGCATCTTGGAGCCTCAGTGTCTGTCACAGGTTGGCAGTTGCCTCTGGAGGACCAACTTAGATGCCATAAGATTGAAAGAATTCACTGAGCAGATTTTAGGAAATCAAGCATAAGGACTTTTACAGAGCAAATTTCTTAATCTTATATTGAGGAAATACAACCCTGATCTACAGAAACTTTTCAATAAAGCAAAATGCAGTTTTTGTTCCTGTCTATTGAGATCTTATTATCTGGAAGAATATAAAAAATGTAGCTGAAAAAATGCGCAAAACCCCAATCTGTGCCACTAACCTGTGCTAAAAATACCAACTCCTTGAACTTGTTTTGCAAAACAAAGATCAATATTTTAATAAAAACTGACATACCCAACTGATCATAATTCATTTGAAGTTTTAATAATAAAACACTTCTTTCTGCATGCACTTTGCATCCCGAACAACATAAAACACATGCGTGCCAACACTAGGCACATGCTGTTCATGGATACCTCCCTTCTGATGAACAGTATACTTTGCATAATTTGTGAATCAAGTTGTATTTGCCTCACACACACACGCGAACACATACACACACACACACACACACACACACACACAAGAGGAAGCTGCAAGGCCACAGCTTCTGTCCCTGCTAAACAATTCAAGCTTCAGCAAATACTTGATGCAGTTCTTGCTCAGCAAACGTGTCAACCAATCTTAAGGTGCCATATAACTGGCCAGGACAAAATTGGTGAGTACAGAGTGACACTATACTTTCCCATGGCAGATCACACTTAACCACATATACGAAGGACTGAACATGCTGTGTGGGGTGCCACAAACCTGCCAAATGCGTAGGCAGAGTCAGAGTGAGCTCCCATGAATGAATCTGAGAAACTCACCTTGAATGGGGGCACTACTAAAGTTTTATAAAAAAATGCATAAATGCAACTTACAGCACTGTGTGATCTTCTGGATGTTAGAAGTTATGCGTTGGGCTAGTTGATTAGGATCCCCAAAACCCGGTCCGTACGACATGGCTGAGTAGAGTTGTTTTAAAGATCATTCACAATGGGAAAGAGTCAGACAGTCTCCACCTATAAAAAACAATAGTTTTGATCATTGGCTTATAAAGGTCTTCACCATCTTAAAGAAGAATACATAGGAAAAGATTAAAGAAAACTTCATATACTAATGCTTACTCTCTCCAAAAAGGACAGAATTTACTCTCTTCAAGGACAGAATTTAAGGGAACACTTTCTTTAAAAAGTATCAAATAGGAATATGACATCCTTTTTGAATTTCCTACAATAGCTCTTACTATTGGGATTCTTAGTAATACACACAGCTTAAGATCTGCAATTACACTACAAGAGCCACATCACAGAAACTACATCCTTTGTCAGACTTCTTACATATTTTCCCCACTGTAATCAAATAAAGAGTATACATTTTCGTTTGTTGCCATTCCAGAAGAAAACTGATGTTTAATCTGAAAATGCCAAATCCTCTAAAGAATTATGTCCCAAACTAATCATATTGTTATTTCCATACCCTGTCTCACCCATCCCACCAATACAATACAATATAACCACTGGGAAAAAAACCCATCAGATATCACACAAGATATCAGAATAAAGAAGGCACTTAATTTCCTCTAAACACCAATAATTTGTATCAACTTCAGCTTTAGTTGTAACCCAGTGTCACCTAAGTCCTATGAATTACCACTTCATCCTGTTTCATCTGCTATGTTTCTCAATATGAATTCATTTTTCAACAATTTGGGTATTCAAATGCATTTTTAGAGGTGCTTTTTCCTCCATACAGACCAAAGTTCAGCACAAGCTCATATGCTCATATCTTAAATCTAAATTAACAATACATGGATTACAATACCCATGCAAATCAAAACTGGCAGTTTATCTGTTCTGCAGTGAGAATGCAGACTAATCAAGCATAAATGCATCCAACACAATCCCACAATTTCATCCAGGCTGTGCTCTCCTGCACATCACCTTTGTGGGTTCAACATTTTAACTTCACCACATTCCCACATTTCCAGTGTTCAACCCAAACCATGGGCCTTCCAAGCAATGTCCTGTTCTCCTGGCCTATCAGCTTCTGGTTAACAGACACTGCTAAAACTCAGTTTCAAGGAGAGAGAAAAAGAAAGTACATTAAATATGTGAAAAGAAGGAAATGAAAAGGCCAGCTGATTTGTCAAGTATGATAACAGCTGTGCTACGATTTGTGAACCCAAGTCCTTATAAACTCTTTTTTTAGCACAAACAATTAACACTCCCTGTTGTCAAATATTTTCTTTCACCTTCGGAAATGCCTGTATTAATACAGGCAGCAACGCCCTGGTTGTTTTTGTATCTCTATGATATGAAATGACCTTTGGTGGAGCCAAGACACTGTATGGGTCCCGTCATTGTATATGCCACCAAAACTTCACCGGATGTAACTACAAAGGTCAGGCCCACCCCTGCTACCCTGCAGGAGACACCACCTATGCCAGATGAACAAGCTGCTGCTACCGTGAAGACAAACCCTGCACGACTTTGAAATGAATGCTCCACTAGGGTCCCAAACCCTGCCTGGAGTCTTTAGGCCCTGAAGTATCCCCTAGAAATGAACAATCTGATTACAGATGAGGTGACAGGGAGTGTATTTGCACTCTTCTACTTACTTGCTGCACAATTGCCCTTTAGTCATGCCAGCTCTCTGCAGTATCGTTTCCTGACTTTGTCTGTACCACGTGGAGATTCAAGTTATTTTGACTGAAGTCAGTCAGCCAGACAGCCTAAATACCACTTATCTGGACCAAGGCTGGCGTAACAACCCTTGATCTTTTTGGAAACCCTAGGCAACACTGCATTGAATTTGGATTGTAAGGCCAAAGCCATGCAAACTTTAAAGTGAATAAACAGTTTTATACCCTGCTGTATTGACTAAGTAAGGAAATCTACCAATTTAGTGGAAAATACAATCATAGGCATAACATCCAAAGAAACTTCCCAAATACTTAGTTTGAAAAAGATTTCTCAGAACTGCTGACAGATTGGGTTTTTTTAAAGTTATGGCTATTTCTAGACACCTTAGTAGCATGCTAGCTACAAGGCTAGCACTGACTAAAAATACTTTTTAGTTAAATATTACAGTTAATGTCAAAAGTCAATGTTAAAAGTTAAACATATGTTTGAAGTTAAAATGCTGCAAAAGACCAAATTACCTTGTGTAGAACTAACATAGTCTTTAATGATTTTTTTTCTTCTTTCACAGTTGTATTCAGAAACGGCTCCTGTAACACTGTTCTCAGGAGCATCATTACAATCAAGAGATATACACTGACTACTTCATCCAATTCTTGACAAAAGCAGTGACTGCTTTTCATTGTCTTCCAAACTTCTAGAGCTAATCATAAGTATCTTTAAACAAGTTACACTGCACTATACTGATGAATGTACAGACTGTACAGTACAGAAGACTTTGAATTTTTCAACTTTCTAGCTACATGTGCAGCCAAACACAACACATAATGAGAGGATGTTCAGATGATAGATTGCAAAGGATACAGTTCAGCTTTTCTTCTGCAAACGTAGATCTCTCTGATTGTTGATACAATTCTTTGTATCAACTCACATACTTGAATTGAGATTTATAGTAAATTTGTAGGATAGCAATGTAAATTCACAGCTGGTTTACTCCATGCAGATTCTTCCACTAGCAATGCTATTGATGAGTACTCTAATAACACAGGTTGGTGACAGAGTAAGCTACTGGCCTGGGGAACAGACAGAAAGAGATGTAAGGGGTCAGCCATCAGGTCTCATCACCTCTCAATCTTCACCACACTTTAGCCTTCTAGTTTTCACAGCAACGCGGGCATCTGAACTGAACAAACACTCTACTTCAACCCACACACCCTTCACCCGTTAGTGTTAATTTACTCAAGCTCCTCTGAAAACACAGATAGATGGGCCCATGGGAAGTCAACTGGTGTTTTTGCTATTGTCTTTGACCCAGATAAGGTCAGGATTTCAACCACCAGGAAACAAACCAGGCATGCACCAAGCATTTCCTTCCATCCAAAGGGATAGAAGCATTCATCAAGACTCTGAATTTCCATAGAAATTACTCCTTTTCACTTCCACAGCATTTAACTACTCTGTTGTGATATATTTTGGCATTACTGGTTGCATAGCTTATAAATTGGGGAAGTTAAAAATCTGCTGCAGTTGAGGAAATTACAGTTTATGTTCAAACTGGAACAGAGCTCCATCTGTGGTAGTCTTCAGTTCCCCTAAAAGTTTCAGTCAGGTGTGAGCTTCTGATTGTACCTTTTATCTTCCGCTCAGTATCTCTGTCTTTGGGAGTATACCTAGTGGCAACTCAGCTTGCCAAGCTACAGAAGAAAGTCAAAGGAACCGAGTCCACTATCACAAATGAAATGAAAAATCAGGACATTTCATCAACACTCCCTGAAGCAAGACCTCACTGTACATATTTGAGGTTTAAAGAATTCAAAGGACTTCTATATATTTTTCATAATTTCTGCATTAACTAGTTCCTCCACTGTCCCTCTATACCAGAGCAAAAAATGAACCTTAGTATCAACATATTTTCTAGAAAGGTGTTTGTCAGGCATGGGAAAAGATCCATTTTTCCATTGGTTATGAATGCAGAGACAAGAAACTGGGAACTCCACTACCAAGCAGCTTCCCAGTGTCATTCTTGAAAGCTCCATCAGGACAAAAGAATGTGATGTGTCAGATCTCACAGCAGTCATTTAAATATCTTCAAGGCTCCAGTCAGCTACAGTTAAGTATCTCATTTATTTTGTATTTTCTCATTTAGATATTCTAAAAGTCTTTCTTCTCCCATAAATCTAGACCATACACATTAGGATAAGAACCCTTTGGCAATAGCTTTACTGTTTGAGGAATGTTTCAGCATCAGGACTTAGAAATGTTTACATGGAACCTTAACTTTCAGAAAGCAAAAAAAAAAATACATGCTACATTCCATAGAACACTTGAAAATTTAAATCTGATCTGAATTTAAATCTGATTTTATGCCCTTGATTATCCAGAGACAAGTCATGGGGCTTTCTTTATGTGATTTTTTTTCCTAAATAAAGGTCACAGTAACAAAGCTTCTCGCCAGCAATAAGACTTCCCTTGTAAACTGCTTTCCCCCCACCCAAAAAAAAGTGCAAAATCCTTCAAGCAGGGTGAAAACACAGGTAAAAGTGATGAACTGCTGAAAGACTTCAGCAAAAATTTCAGCCAGTCACAATGTTAGCTACAGAAAAGATAAGGATGTCCTGCTACAGCACCTCAGGGATTCTCATAACTGACTGACTCATAGCAACTGACTTAGCGAGATACAGGTGAGCATTAAATCTGTCACTATTTTCTCTAGCGGGGATGAAGGAGGTTGGAGTTTTTTCTGGACTTATCTCTTTTATCCTTTATACTTAAGCTAAAATATTTACGAGACAGATATCATATTTTCAACTTTGTGTTTTTACAGCTCTTAATATAATGAAATCGTGGTCCACAAAGGCTGACTGTAGGCTCCCATAATTAAAAAACCAACTGTGGAGCATAATAAACATGCAAACAAAAATTAAATCCTTCTGGTCTTCTTAAAAGTTTTCAGATTTATTTTTTTTTTGTCATCTAGTTTCAGGTGAAGTCAAACTTAAATCCATATAGGGAAGGAAAGAGTTCATTTAAAACTTTATTTCTCCTGCAGCAACACTAACATAAAAGATGTCAAAAGATAATTGTCTATCCACTCTGCCCAATTCCCTCAGCCTTGCAACACTAGCGGTGCGGGAACCTAACAAAACCAGGTTTACATTGTCGAACAGCTATAAGTACTTCTTTTTTTTTTTCCTTTTTTTTCTTTTTTTTTTTCCTGGAAAGAATTATTAGATTGTGCCACTGGTCAGTGTTTTAGTCATTTCTCCTAGAAAAGATTCCATTGAACAAAGATGCAATTTAAAGCAGTGGCGTTTAAACTGCCAGCATGAAAAACTAAATTACAGAAGCCTAAAATACTACTAGACCTGATTCATCGTCAATGTTTAGCATATACAGATTAAAAAAATAAAATGTTTATAATTGTCTGATTCATCCACACTGATATTTGTAATGAAGTAGGTAAGAATCACATGCTTTCACAAGCCTAAAAGAACATTTTAGTTCTCGGTAAAATGCCTTAAGAGAATTATGTTTCCTAGGAGTGCACAAAGTGTTTAAAGGCCTGATGATGAGGCAGGAATAGGAAAATGAACACTAGGGACTGGAACTATTGGGGAAGATAGGGAACAGGAGGTCTGAAAATGGACCTGAAATGACCATTTCAAAGTGCCTAGTTTCTTGTGCTGCTGATAGACAAATATCATCTCATGGGAAAATGAAGATGGATTAGAAGCACAGCACACCTGGCGTGCTAGTCTCACTCAAGTCTCCCTAATGGTAGCTTGTTCGCATTGAATCAAGTTCTCAGATCAAGTGCACCAAGGGAGAAGTTACCTTTGCACAAAATCTCACTGCAATGGATGTCAAATCTCTCTGAGGCCCACCAGGATGCTAATAACTACATATAGCTCATGGTCTCTTTTTTCCTCCTCCCCCAAGAGTTTCACTTCAGTGTAAGTCACCAAGAAGAGTGCCACTTAATATTCTGCCATAAGACTACAAAAGACATTTTCATGAAGGGAACACAAACACAGTTTATAACAACGCCACCATTTAGCATCACTTTCGTCTAATGTTAAGATATTTTAACGTTTTTTGTCCCCTTTCTTTTCTATTAACAGTATTTGCACAAACTCCAAGCTCTGAGCAGAAGGGCTGCATTGCCAGCAAAGCACAAGACTGGATAATGACGCGTCAGGAGCGCTCCTCTCGCCCCGTGGCACAGCCCTCTGCCTTTGCAAGGCTTATTCGTCAGTGGAGGGGGTCACAACACATGAGCACATTGCTTCTGGCAAAGTATTCCTGCGATTGTATCACTGGGCTTCTTCAATTTAAGACTCAGTGCCTTGCATTGCATGCAAAGTGGAGCGAAACCTTCCATTTAATTGCAGAGTTTGCAGAAGTGCCCATCCCTGATGCAGCGGAGAGTGATTCACCAGGAAAGCAGCGATAACATCGGCCCAGGGGCCCGGCGCGCCAGGCCCGGGCTCGGTATTTACATCGGTGACTTTTACAATCTCCCTTCCTCCCGCTGACATGCTCACCTCGGACCTGGAACAGCACGGGGAGCGCTTCCACACGGCGGAGGTGCGCGTCCTACCCTACAGTTCCACACAAGCTGCTGTAAAACACCCGCTGTAGGCCTCGACTCGCTTCTCAGAGCATCGCGGCCAGCGCCCAGTCCAAAGCCCCGGTACCGGGGGTGTCCCGGGAGGGGTGCAGGGGAAAGGGGCTGGTGCTGTCACGACCCACCGCGCTCCAACACCGCCCCCGCCGAGGTCCCGGCCCCGCCACTCCCGTCACCCCAGTCCCGCCCGCAGCCGCCCCGCTCGCCCCAGGGCCGGGCACGGGGGGGCGGCCCCGAACCCAGCGAGGGCCCGCGGGGCGCTGCGGCCCTTCCCGCCGCGCTCTGACGGGCTCCCCGTGCCTGGCAGCCCCTTCCCGGCTGGCTGGACACCGCCCTGGTCACCCCTTTCCCCGGCGGGCGGGGGGACAGCGAACACCCCCCGCACCCCTAAGGGGCTCCGGCTGCTCTTACCCGGCCCCGGCGAACCCGCTCGCAGGGGCGCGGCGGGGGCGGTGGCGGCTGCAGGGCGTGGAGGGGCGGGTAGGACCCGGCCCGCCCCGCCCCGCCGTGACGGCGGCGGCGAAGGGAGGTATGGCCCTGTCCGGCCGGTGCCAGAGCAGGGCGGGCCGGGGCAGGGGCGGGCGCGGCGCCGTTCGGGCCTCCGGGGGGACCCCGTTGCTGGCGGGCCCGGGGGCGTCCGGGGGGAGAGGGGCAGCCCTGTGCGAGTGGAAAAAATGGGGATAGGGATTGGGGAGAGTGTAATTTAGGGAATAGGTGCTGTTGCATCCGGAAGTAAGGGGGAAACATGAACAAGGAAACGATATTGCAGAGAAAAATACGAAGTTGCTACGTTAAGACCCTGCTTTGCAGCTCCGCCTTCAGCTTGGGTCATTTCTTCTCCAAATGGGAATGGACACTTCAAAGAAAGTGAGTGGGAAACTGTCGATCTATTTAAAGGTGCCTTTAAATGCAGAGGTACATGATATGCGGCTGAGAGAGGGGGCAAGCGATGCCAGGAACACGAGGAAAGAAGGGTGCGTTCACACGGCTGCCAGGGCCGGGCTCGGGAGGAGGAAGAGGAGGAGACCGCGCGTGGCTGCGAGGGCAGCAGCCCCGGCACCAGGGCTCCTCCTGACGCAGCCACCTGAGCAGGAGAGACAGGTGAGCCCCGAGGCTCACCTCAACCTGCACGGCAGCTGGGGCGCTTCCTCATGCTCCCCACTTCTTCAAAGCGAAAATGTCAGGGCCAAATGCTCCCTAGAGCCCCGGGGCTGGGCTGCTTCATCTGGAGGATATCCCCGTGCACATTAAATACAGAGCAAACATCCCACAGCACCTGGTTGCTGGGAATGCCGCCTCTGCAGAGCCTAGCCTCACTTAGGGAAGAGCTGCAGAATTTGAGAAGTGCGAGTTTGTTTCTGCTTCATCATAGATCTTGGTGATTGCTAAGATTTAGAAATAGCTGGAGCAGTGGAAAACTTAATAGGCATCCTTATCAAATAATAATAGAAAAGTCCATTAAACTACCAACACGATGGAGCGAAGTTAAAGATCTGAAAAAACAAGACTATTTATGTGATTCTCAGTGGGTCTGAAAGCATGCTGAAAGGAGAGACGACCTAACCTGCGAGACTCATATGCCTACAAATAGTTCTTATGTTAACCGATGCTTGAAATGTCATTTTCTCACTTTCATGAATTAAAGTTACTAGGGAAAAAAACATTCTGATATGCCTTTTTGTTGCAGGAATGCTGTATACATAGTCAATCTAGTTTTAATAGGTTTTTAGCAATGATTTTAGCATTACTATCTGGACTGGTGTTTTCCCCATGCTGTTGACATACCGAAGCTGATCCAAGATGCTCCCACTAGACGGTGCACTAATGAGAGTATAATGCAAGTCCCTTCCAAATTAATGCCTCACCTTGATTATTATCCTAAATGTTTGTCATATAAACTTCATTGATTGAGTCCAATCACTCTTGTGTTATAAAACTTAAGCTGAGATCACTGTCAGCTTTTTTCCAGAGAATAGTACATCTTTTATATATGATTTCAAAAATGTATTTCCTATTCTAGAAGTGACCCCTCATCAGTGAGAATACTTTATCTATAGATCACCACTTGAGTATTTTTTTTTTAGGCTTGGAAGTAATACACAATCATTACTGATCAATGTTCATTCTCATTCTATAGAAAGGAGGTATCCAAATGCTTTCCTAGCAATACTGGGTGTTTTATGAAGAAATGCTGGTCCTCACCTGCAGTTAGCTCACTTATCATCAGCATCCACCTTTTATTATTAAATAAGTAAAAATCTTTGTGATATGATTATTTAAAGTAACCAGTTACAGCAATGATGTTACAACCTGGGAGGGAAAAATGGATTATAAAACAAACTTTTCATTGAAATGTTGTTCGTACTGTAAAAATACTTAAATAGCTTTTTAATATAATCATAAATAATTATGAAGGTTATTAGACCATTGATCAGATTTACTGATCAGATACTGCTAAGAGCATGGTATGCCCTCAGAAGATTTTTGTTAACTCCTGTAGGAAAGCCATTGACTGGGAGAACATGCCCTGTTTCACACTTCTAAATAAAACAGGAAAATTCCTTCAGTTTCTTCTGCTAGCAACAGTGTATTGACAGGCCTTGTGAAGAAGCCATCTGTAAGTGTTATCATCAGAGTTCCTGAAAGGGAGTGCTGCTACACCATTTTGTCTCTAAATACATTTCATTGGCACCTCTCTAGACTTCCCACACAAGCTTTACCTGGGGATTGAGTTCAGAATCATGTATTCATTTATCTTTCCTGTTTCTTATGGAGCATGATCAGATTTCAAATTATTAAATGAAATGGGGAAAGCTCTGGGGGACAAAAAGGGGAAAATGTTGAGACCCTGCTATGCATAGTCACAGTGTACCATGGAGGATGCTCTGGATATTTACTGACTGAAGGGCAGAGTATCTGCCAATTATATTCTGGTAATTGTGTGTAAGACTGAAAAGAAAGGGATGTCACTTCAACCATGTGCTGTTTGAGAATCCATGCACAGTACAGTATATAATGTCTGAAAGAGCTGGAAGTTAAGCCGCACCAGCATGGTGTTATTTTGAAAGAGCACACCTTCCTCCTGGCCCAGTATCCAGATCTGCCCCACCTTCCCGACTGTATTCCTGCCTCCCACCTCCTTCTCCTGCCCTGGCCCCAAACCAGCAGACACACAGGCCCAGCAACGTGGGTGGCACAAGCAATTGGGGCCACCAATGATGCAGAAATAAGGCACTCATTTCCGTGCAGCTCCCCATGCCTGCATGATGCATGATGAAATGAAGGGGAAGCAGCCCAACCCTGGCCTCATATTCCTGATGACTGTCCTCTTTTCAAGGTGTGAGCAAGTGCGTAAGCCATGTGTAATTTACCTTATGGGCCAATTTCATTCCCTGCCATCACATTTCACTTGCACACTTTTAGCTTTAGATAGGAAGAGCAATGTTGCCAGTATTTCATACTGATGTCAAACTGTCTGGCAGAGCTTCCCGAGTGGTTACTGATGCATTCCACCATCAGCAACAATTCCTGTTATTGTCATCATCTCTGTTTGATAATTTAATAAAAGCATCCACTCCAGACTTTGAAATGAGATTAGGTTCCTAATACACCTAATCCTGTACGTAATTATGATGGATGATGGTTTTCTAGCCTGAACAATTTTATGGGTTCATTATATTGCAGAATGGCCTGTAAAACCTATTTGTTAAAAAAAAGAAAAAAAAAGGAATGACAATTTGCATGTTATTTAGGCTGGTACTTGCTCTCCAGCAGCAGTAATTAACATAGTAGCATATGTTTTAAATAAACAGAGAAAAATTCTGTTCCTGATATTGATAATGTTTCCCCCCTCAAAAAAAAAAGTTTACTACAACTTATTTTCAAATATTTCTTTGCTTTTCTGTTTAATTTTCAAAGACATATTATACTTTTATAGGCATTAGTGAAATGAGCTGATGTTATTATTTCAAAGCCCAATCTTTAAGTAGTATCTGCAAATACATAATCCCTCCAAATTCAACCAGACTATTTTGAAATAATAAACATTTATAAAGGGTATAAAATTAAATGGCAATATTTTATGCAGATAAAGAAATACAAACCTAGAGAAGAAAAAATATTAAAAGTAAGAGAATATATGGACTTTAAGGTCAGCACATAGCTCTGTTAGAATCCAATAGATCTTCATTTGGAAAGTGAGGTCATTGTTGAGTAATTAATTTTTTTCACTTTACAGCTCCTCATAATCTTCCTCCAACTCCTAATTTTCAACTCATAATTACCTTCATGTATTTCTGAAACAATGTGGAATAAAAAAAAAAACACACAAAGGGATCTTGACAGAATTTGGCTAGGTAAATGAGACAGACATCAAAGATAAGGGGACAAGGGGAGTTACAAAGATGAGGTAAACGTTGTTTAAGGATATTTGCAAAATGTGGTGTCAGAAAATTAGGAAAGTGAACTTAGCTACTCCCGAATTTTAGCAGCTTTTCCTCCTCACTTGTATGTTCTGCCATTGTGACTGTGCACATCGTACTCTGGGTTCTGCTTTTCCCTCTCTCCATTATTTGCCCTGCTGTTTAGCCAAAGAGGAGATCTAGAAACAGTCACAAGATGTTATGGCATAGTTCTTATATAGCAGCAGAGACAGTGGTCACCCATTGTGGGACCAAGGTTCATCCACCTCCACTGAAGAAAAGAAAACAGTAAGGACAGATTATGCAGTGGGACTCAAAAAAAAAAGGGGCTAATTGAATGCATTCATGGCATATACCCTCTGTGATCAGTTGAGGACTGGTAGAAAATATCTCAAAAAACAACTAGAAACTCAGTGGATGTTCCCTTTCTCTATGGATTTGGCTGCAGTGAGTTCAGAGCAGAAGGTCTCAATAGAAGATGTCAAGATGTTGCTAGGATAGACTCAGTTTGAGACTTGTAGATTTCTACATGGCTAAATGTCAAAAATTCTGTTATGTACCCCACAGATAAGCATCTAGTACCATTTAAGATGCCCAGATGGGTCCCACCTCGCTCTCAGCTACTGCTTCATTGGTGCTCTCTGCGTAGATATCTCAAGTTCCCTATGACACCTTAGGTGGCATTAGGCAAATGATTCATATCCTCTGAATAGCCCTGACTACAGCCTGAGCTTAAACAACCACTCCAGCTGTAGTTGTAATCAGGACTTAGACAATTACCATAATTATAAACACCTACCTGTACATATTAAATTTAAGAGTCTTAATCTCAAAACTCATCCCACAGTCTAGGTCTTCCAGCACGTACCACAGCTTTCCTATATGTTTCTGTGGTAATTTGGTGCCTGAACTTTTATAAGAATCCTATTCTGCCGTTCAGTCTTTAGCCTGATGCCTTGGGTTTGGTACCCTTATTACAGAAAATCTACAGCTGCATGCAATAGGGGATCAGGTTTTTACCTTCTGCTACAGCATGAGTAGACAGAGGAACAGTAGAAGCAGCTTTGGCTTATGTTTTAAGAAACAATGAATATAGCAACCTGGGTGTACATCAGACAGTGAGAGAATGAAGTGAGATTGAATTACACTCCAACTCCAGGCATAAGACTTCATAAATGTCACAGTTTAAGATGACCAACATTTTATGATCACTATGTATTCAGGACATCCCCGAAAATATCATTTAAGCTCTCCTTCTCTTCTCCTTCCTCCAGTTATATATTTTAGCTTTAATTATTTTGAATACCAATATTTCCTCTGACCAGGGTCTTAACATTAAGGACAAAACCACAAAGGATTTGAAATAAGCACGTGTCTGAACAAGTTACAATGTCCCACAGATGTAGCTAATTTTGTACTAGCAAAAGAAACCATTCTTGCTGTACAAAAACATAATGATAAGATAAAACAGAGGAAAAAGAGTTTTACCATTAGTTTATTACATATATTAAAATATGTAGCTTCTACAACAATCACTGTATTGCACTGATTTCCTACAGAATATCTACTGTGCAATTGCTTTGTCTATTTCTTACACATGTAGGGCCTGATCCAATTGCCTGCTGCACGTAGCGAAAAACTGACCACTCTTTTTAGTAGGCTGAAGGGCATCTGCTAGTCTCTTGCTCTTAGCTGCACACTTCCTGTAGCTGTTTTTCTAGTGTTTGTCACTCAGAAAATATGCAGATGACTATGCAACAGAATTACTTTTTTTTAAGAGGCATTAAAGATTTGAACAACTTTCAAACTGTTGCCTAAAAGAAAATTCAGGGAGAAAAAAACTCTGAGACAATTCAGTTTTGAAGGTGAGATAAGGAAAGGATTTAATTTGTACCTAGGCATAAAGTTCAAGACCCACACCCCACGCTGTTACAGATGTTACAATTTGTAATACTGCCTGTCCAATCCGAGACTTTTCCACCCTCTGGCTTTTGCCCTCGATCCACCTCTTGGGAATTGGGGCTGGGGTCTTTTGAGACCACCTCTTCATCAATCTTCATCTTCTTCAGAGCACAAAGTGTACACAGTCACTCAGTTTCTAATCGTGTTCTGCGGTTTAGGCTAAAATACAAGTATTCTCCAAACAGAACAGGCCTATCTTAGAGTGAGACTAAACATGTTCTAATGGAATCCAGGGGTAGAATTGATATGGGGAGCATAGAATGTGGTTAGAGGGTTGGTAATCTATGTAGCTTCTGTGTTAAGGGTAAAGGAATGAAATGCTGCTGCTTCTAAATCTATTTCTACTATATAACTACTTATAAAACTTATAAAAATTAGAAAAATCAAAAAACTAAAAGGACCTTAAGGAATCAAAACCTGATTATAGGTTTACCCAACATTAACAGAAAAAGAAGACCTAATTATTAGAATTTTATTTGTATGTTTGTTAAGTTTGTATAGAGTTACTACAATTTATTTTTTTTCCTGATAAAATGCTCATAATAGTGAGGTAGAAAATAACTCCCTTATAAATAGTACAAAATTTTACCATGCAGCTTGCTGCTGAACAAAGATTTTAAGAAAAATCCAACAAGTTAAAACAAGTTTCACAGCTTTCCTGAACCAATGGTAGGAAAATACATAAATGCACAATATACGGGATTGCAGATCAAACTGAAGTAAGCAAACCGAATTAGGACCAAACAGAGCTGAAGGGGTAATGAAATCCAGAAGTCTGTCTGCGATGGTGTCAATAGAAAAGGGCAACCAACACAAAGGATGGACTCTTACATCTACCCAAAGAGTCTTTGCTGCTTTCCTTTCGCTCTTGGATGCCTCTATGTGTTGCTGAGAACCAATACTCCTACTCATGTTGTTTATCATCCTGACTTGCTGATGCCAGCCTGCCCAGATCCCATTACCCCCTTCCCCCAACCCCAGACTCCAGCTCTGCACACATTATTTGTTGGATTCACTTTGTATTTTTTCCCCTCTCTTCTCATCTGGTCATGAAAAAAGAGATCAGTTCATGATTAAGAAAAAGGCTCAATTAATTTACATCCATATGCTTTGGAACAAGAAGAGCTTTTTAACATGTAGAATGCAACCACAAAATTAAAAAATGCTTGTCATACTCAAGATGTTCCTTGTCTTTACTCTCCCTTCTTCAGACAAAACTGGTGGATACAGTCTCAAACTGAAGTTTCATTGAACGTACTATGCAGCCCAGTAATCCACAGGAAAACATACAGAAAAACAGGATAAGTGTGCTATCTGATATGGTTCAAATTGCAGTGAAGTCATGCATAGCCAATGTCTTTTTTTATTAAAACTCCTGCACATAACTTCTAAGATCTAAATATATCTAAGTAACCTTTGAGTCTGAGTTCCTTAAAATAGAATAAGACAGTTTCAAAGGATTATTGATTTTCTAAAAGGGCCATCATCAGTGCCCCTTTGCTGTGCATTTTTTCCTCACAGGTTCCAAAAGAGTCAGACTGGGATCTTTAAATAGAATATAATAGTATGAGAAGGCTGTGGGCTTACTAAAATGACCCACACAGAGCTAGCGCGCCCAAATCCCAAATCTTCCATCATGTGTATTACAGCCATATAGCCTATAGGGCAGGCTTTTGCCCTCTCTTGTAGTAGTGAGAAGTGATCATTTCTGAAGAAGTTGCTGTATTGTATATGAGTGTTTTATCATTACTGTAGAGTGGTGGGAATGTTTGGAGAGTAAATATTCACTCAGCTCTGTTTAAAATTCTGCTAAGTGTAGCACACCCCACCTCTGAGACAGGGGGTCTCCACAGGGTGTGGTATGTATTTTTTTCTTCATAATTCTTGCACAAAAAGCAACATTTGACCCGAATCTTTGTAACTATGGAAAATTCTAGTCCAAAGCACTCACAAGAAATTCTTCTACCTGCTGCATCCTACTTTTATGTAACTTCTGCTTTTATGTTTCCCTGCTTTTAATTGCATTAGTTTGTGTTCGTCCGTTCAAGTACTTATATAGGACACCCCTATATGATCGGTTTTAGAAGCAATACTTCCATAAGTTAGCTGTGGCAACTTAAACCATGTTAAAAGTGGAAGTGAATATGGAGAGAAAAGAACTCACTGGCATCCCTATCTGTAGCATCTTTGTCCAAATTACTCAGCTGAAGGATTAGAGTAGAATTAAAAAAGGATAATTTAGTTTAGAAAATTGATAAAAAGAATAAATTCAGATATTTTCAAAGATGTTATCTTTGAAATTAACAACTCAGATATTTATTTCAATCTAGGATTGTCCTAATACAAAATGAAATCTTTTTCTTTCAATTTATTGATCTTGTTATCCTTTTACTGTCTCATTTTTTTCATTTATGACAAATTTGCAATTATTAATCTCATAATAAAGTGTCCATGGACATCAAATATCACTTTCGAACTCTGTAGAAAAGATGTTTTCTTTCTCCCTGACTGGACAATGTTTCACTACTGGTACTGTTACTTGAATGAGATATTGATTTCTGCTAAATTGTCACAAAAAGAAATAAAAATCACTGTCAATATTATTATGGGCTGATAAAAAAAATTATCAGCCCATAATATTAGAAAAGCCAGATGCACTGAAATGTCCTGCATCACCAAATAGGATCATCTTCCTTCTGTACTCACACACTAGAGGAGCTGCCTGGCAGCACCCAACTATCACTTTGGTGTCCTGCCTGTGGGAAAGTAACCACTTTCCTGACTGTGCAGTAACCACTGGGAAGACAGAATTGAAGTTTTGCCTATGAAACCTTTGACAAACATGATAGGGTTTTTTATTTATATTTGGTAGTCACCTTTTAAAATATCTAACTTTTAATTCCTCTGAGGGAATGTACCCACCTCCCCAGATAATAACTAATTTTCATAAGCAGTGCAGTGCAGCACATGGAGAAACAGGTAGTTGTTCAGAGACCACACCATCATACCCTAAATCAACTCACATTTAAAAATTTTTTCAGCTACAGAATGAAAAATTACCTTTATAACAACAGGCTGAGGCTAGTTTCCCAGTGCCATGTCTGGAGTCCTGTGAGTAGATAAAGATGATGGAGTATTTTCAGCTGGAAAAATTTTTGGCTCCATTCTGATCTCCTGGTTCATTTGGAAAGTTTGGTTAACAGATTGGGGTAACGAGGGTGCTAATTTTCAGATAATGATATCTAAATAATTACCTCATGCAACTTAAACATGAGTGTGCCCACTGGCTCTTGGACACAATGGTTCTTCAGTGTCATGGCCATGTAGCTTGTGACTCTGTACACACAGCAGAGAATCTGCATAATGTATCCTGTATGTGTTGTCAGTTGTCATTTCCTAGAATATGGCACATTTCTTGGGATATTGTAATATTTTGCTGTATATAAGTACACTCATAGGTTACCTGTTACTGTATGTGACAGTATATGCAAATACTGAAAAGATAAAAGAACCTATATAATTATTTGCAAAGTTTTCTGAAAGTAATTCCAGGAGTTGCTAATTAATGTATAACAAATATGACTACGTAACCAAGTTTTTACAGGATGGCACTAGAGTACACTGAAAATAGCAGTCTGAATATTGCACCTGTAATGACCATTTTCAAAGGTTTTCTTGAATCAAATGATAAAACAAAGCATAAATTATAGGTCTGCAGGCAGAGCTGAAATAATCCATCCTGAAGGCAGCATTGCACAAGTCCTTAGGTGCTGAGAAGCTGGTAAAAATATCAACTAATGGAGAAAGGCAGTCAAGAACAACAAAACCAACCAAAGAACCAACAACAGCAACAAAAAAAGCAAACCAAAATTAAACAAACCAGTTAGTATTTAACAACGAGAATACCATGTGAGATGCGAACAAGAATAAAATTCATGAGCCATCTAAGAAAATTACTTCTTTCATAAGGATGGTAATTTTGGTGATCTAATGCAATTGGTCAAAGATGGTATAATTACAATCAAGAGAGAGAAATCCAACAGGAAGGTGAGGTGCTACACACAACTGCATGACAAGATGTGTAGGGTTTGAAGGAGAGCCCCAAGCTACCAGCATAATTTAACAGAGCTGGCTGTGACGTGGGCCATAGCAACACTGAGGAAAAGTCAGTTTTGACCACGAAGTAGACCAGAAACTTGGTGGGAGAGTGGGTATCTGCAGATGCCGGATGAAACCACTCACAGACATATTTCCCCCCATTTTGGACAGAATGGTTCTACCCATGCACATAGCACAGGGGCAAAGCCCACGCCTTGCATTTCTAGGCACTGAAATCTTAACAAAATCAAGCCAACATTACACCAGCTGTGAACTCCAGAGCTGCATGAAGTTATGATTTGGCAACTTGAGATATTCACAAAAGTATTGCAAGAGTCAGTCCTGGGGAAGAAAATCAGATAAAACAAAATTACTTAAACATAGAAGAACAAGATCTGTTGGGGAGACTTTTCTTGGGAAAAGGATGTCTTTCAGTACACAATACTTTCTTTGAGTCAAACCTTGCCTCTTCTGATTTATTTAAACCATATCTTTATGTCTTCAGAAGTGCTTTTAAACCATCATGATTACAGTGTTACATCAGATCTAGAGACAAATGTGACAGTCACAAGTGCTGTGACAGTCACTTCTGTCACTCAACATCTGATCTGAAGGATGAGGGAACAAAATCTGGCTCTTAGCTCTGCTGATGTCAGGTACCTGAAGTGTCAGTGCACTTCAGTGACAGCACAGGCTCTGAAATTAAAGCGTCTGAGGGCAGGATCCCAAGCACGGGGTGGGGGACAATTCTGATGGGGACTGGTGACTGAGACCAGCAGCCTCCCTCCCAACTGGCATTGTCTGCAACCTGCTGCAGTGACAGCCTCTGTTTGCTGGCATGGAGCAAGAGAAGGCTGTGCCAAATCAGAGTGAAAAAAAAATTTGCCTGTTTTTATATCCCTTCTTGCCTCAGAAGGCTCCCTTCCTCTGCCTCTTCATCTTGGTCTAGTCTGCACCGCAAAGCACTACCAGATTGCTTTTTTTTCTATATGTTTAAGTATCCTTTCTTTATTAAAATCCAAAGCTGCTTTGAGTGTTCTTTTTTCTCCATTCTGCATTTTGGTGGAAATGTGGAATTTAAAATGAAAGTGAAAACATTCCTCCTTTCTTACAAGAAAAACTGGAATGTTCTTGGTTTGTATATAGATAAAAAGATTCATGGCTGTCTTTTGAGACGCTGCACATCCTTTTCTATGTCAGTGTTCTCTGTAATGCTTCATCGATGCTTTGTTGCTGCTGCAGTCATGAAGGCAGACATGCAGCTCATCCAGAGGGAAGATAATTTGATTACTTTAATATGTTCCTGTTACTACTGTATATAGCCTTTTGTCAGGAGTTTCTTGTAAAAATACTTTCATTTACCTAATTTTAATTGAAGCTGATTAAAATGTTGTCCTTTTTTTGTCAAAAAACATTATTGTAAATTATTACAATAATTGTAAAATGTATGCTGGCTATTGAGCATTAATTTGCCTGAACTTATCTGAGTTCTTTGACATATTTTAATTTTGAATAGAAAAGTTAATGCCCTTAAACCAAAGTTTTTAATTTAAATCTTGAAGGACTAATTTTGGAACTTCATGCTAAATACTTTTAAGTCCTCCACAGTATTAAGGTGTAAAATAAAAATCAACAGAGAACTCGCAAAATTTAAAAAATCTATTTCTCAAAGTTTTCAGCTGTTGTTTCTGCAACACAAACTTTTTTTTTTTTTTACCCCTGTCTTAATTTAATATATTGTTGACTTTTTTGTTAAAGCTGCTTTTGCCTGTGGACTCCACAAGAGGGTAGGAAATCCTTTCTCAATGTTTAGTCTGTGACAGAAAAGATTAAAAGAAAAAATAGTGAATTTAACTATTCTGACCACAAGCAGGCACTGCAGATATGCCGGCGAGTTCCTGAGCTGCAAACCATTTAAGAGTAAAAATAAAACACTTTTTAAAATAAAAATCACTGGCTTTGAAGACAGATCTGAATGTAGGTGTTCAAGGTGTTGCAAGAGAGAGGCTGAGTGTGGATTTCCCAGCTGGAATGCTCTAAAGCATGTTTTGCTGTCCTACGTGTTCAATCTGGAATGTTTCAGAAAGGAAAAGGGCCGTGGAGGTGCTCTCAGACTGAGGGGCTTGCCTGGATGTGAAAGCTTGAACTCCCTCCTGAAGCCAGAACTGGAAATATATCCTCCAAGAGCAACACTAGCTCTTGCTAGAATAATTCACAGCAATAGAAGATACAAGAAATCCTAACCCTTCTACTGCTTCCCTGACAAATAAAAACATCATCTGGATTTGACATAGACCAGAATTCCTTTCAAAACATTTCACTGTGTAGGGTGAAAAAATAGATTGATGCATAGGCGTGTGTTTTAGAAAAAAAACCCCAACACAAACTTACCTTGATATAAAAGAGAGGAAGAAATTAAGAGATCTGTAGTACTTGCAACCGAACGTAAGTGGTGTACCCCGTTGAACTGAATGTTAGGTTCTCCTGACACCAGCACATGTGGTCCACAAAAAAATTCCCTTTTATTCTGATTCCCTAGGTTTTGTGCCAAGCAGTGGGTTTTTTTAGCACCAAGTTTAGCACTAGCATCAAGTTTTACAGCAGGTAGAACAGCATGGCATGCCACTAAGTCGCTCAGTAGCCATATTACACCAGCTGACACATCTGCAAGACCCTTTGGCCAGAAGAACTACTGAAGACCTACTAGCAAGCTGCAGGTTGGGTAGGAAGACTGACTAGATACTCGTTTAACATCCAAGAACACACACTGAACACACAGGACATGATACATTGAAGCCTCACGAATATCTCCAAATTGTTTTCTGAAGATGTGCTGTCTGAGAGAAATGTTGTTCTTATAGGAGAATGTAATGTATTGGGTTGACTCTGAATGATTTATGCTGCATGTTAATGAGGTAATTTAATTATTACTTAAAAGATCTCCAGTTGCATTGCGTGTCACCAGCTAGACATCTAATACTTAGAAGAGTTTTCAGAAATACCTGAATGTGTATTTAGAGACTCAGACACCTAACATTAACGCAACACGTTCTTGTGTAACTAACAGAAGGGATTTAAACTCTGCAAAATAGTTGAGAACTGTGGCAAATATTGCTGGCAGCAAACTTTGTGAAGACACTTATAAAGGATCTATAGTTTTCTCTAAGGCTAGTGCTCTATATAATTTTTTGTGGTCCATCATTTGACTCATGGTTTCACTACTGGAAGGATGTCAGGGACATATATTATTTGTTACCTTTCAATAAAAACCCGCCATGGACCAGTTTTAACTAGATCTAGATACAACTAGATCTAATTCCAATCAAGTTTCTCTGAAGAAGCCACACTGAGCTTCATGCGGGCATGATCTGGCACAGCTAGCAGGGACACCATCTCTGCTGCATAAATGGGATCATGGAGCTCCCCTCTCCCTGCCGTTGCTGACATACTGCGGGCTCTCTGTACTATCCTCAAACACTGTGTATTTCATATGGCTCAGCTCCAAAAGGAGAACCAAGAGTTCCTGGTGACATCCCAGATGGTACCCTGGCCACTAAGCTGTCATGTAAAATGTATGCAAAAGTTGCTCTTCTGCTTCACCAGTGTCCAGAGAGCTGGTCCTCAGGAAAGCACTGCAGATTAAGTCTAGAAAAACCTGAGGCAACAGTACAGGCTCTAAAAGTCAGGGCTAGGCTATGTTGAGGTCCAGCTCTCTAGAGCTGAGTCACTGGCTGCAAGCAACCTGCTGCTCAGTTTTCTTGCTCTCCCTGAGCACTGCTCCTGCTGCCCTCCTGTTTAATCCAGGGGTCTCCCTCGACATGCATTAAGCAATGGTATGGGGCAGTGTATTATTCAAATTCTAGGTGCCTAAAGACTTTGTTGCATCCAGCCCTGATCTGTCTGTTCAGCTAATGATGCTCGTGCACAGAGAAAGTACTTGTGTCAACTTAAAGTCTTTGGGTTTATGTTTCTATTGTGAAAGGTGAGAGCCTTACGCAACACCTCAGATAAGTCTGTGACTTTCCAGCTCCTTGCTGTCTTAAGTGTTTCAGAGTTGGTGTGCAATTGGAATTCTCCAAATCCAAAATAGTATGTGTTACAGATCCACAAAAAAGTTCTCAGCAAAGAAAACAAACTGCTATCACTGGCATGGCATGCTAGTATAGATGTGATAAGTCAAGAAGTGGGTAAACGTGGATAGCTTTGTGGTAGTCACAGTTTGATAAGGGTAGAGTACACACTGTATGCATACTGCAAAAGGTAAATCAGAGGTACAATTCACAATAAAAAGATTGCAGTGGCTGCATTCAGTAACGACAACTCAGTCAAACTTATTTTAAGCAGGTAACTAACGTGAATGCTAACAATGCCTCTTTCTGACTTCAGAGGGAGCTCAGCATGGCAAGGACCTCAATCAGATGTTCCAGTTCAGTGTGACAGTGTGGTGGGATGTCAGCAAGCATATTTTATAACATGTGGAGCCTGACATATAAGCAAAGACAGGACAAGAACATACTTGAGTATGAGCCATACTCTTGTTCCTGCGTACTCCTTCCCAAGTATGAAGCACACAAGAAATAAGGGCTGAAAACCTGATTCTATTATTTTCAGGAAAAGGCCAACTTCAAGCCAAAATTACACTCCCATTCTATTTGATTGGGAATAACAGTAAACTCTATACATCTGCTCCCTTTACAAAGGAGTGACAAAGACCAATATGAGCCTCGATGTATTCAGTTAAGGATTATTAATGGTGAACCCTAAGAAAGATTAGCTGAGTGCATACATCATACAAGATGAAGTGAAATAATGAGTTTATGGGCTGCATGTAAATAAAAAATTTAAAAAAACCAAATCAATGCATTAAGGGTTTCTAGAAAGACTCATACTTCTGAAACACTATCAAGGCATTAAGAGTGAAAACAAGTGATAAATAAATATCATATAAAATTAGTCTTAGATTTATTAGAAAAAATTCAACAGAACTGATAGGTTAGAGATCATAACTGATTTATTAGAGAGAATTTTACAGTAAGCCACTGTTCCTTCATTTCTAGAGCTACTGTCACTAATAGAATCTGTTACTGTGACTGATCTTCAGATAAAAGTTTTATTGTACGAAAATGTTGGTTAAATATTTTGCCTTTTAAGATATATTTAAATATTTTCTGAAACCATGGATAAAAAAATCCATATCTTAATGGATTGCAGAAAGAATTTAAATACCCAAGCCAGTTTACAGAATCCAACAGAGATACAGGAACAGAGAAATTTAAAAATTGATCAATTAAGATTACAAAAAACCAAGGAAACCAACATATTAAGAAACCCAGCATAACAATTCTCAAAGTCTTAGCAGCTTTCCTATCTTTATTCTTAGAAAGCTCATTTTTCTTATCAATTTTTGAGTGCCTGTGTGTCTGGCTCAACTCCCATGTTTGCCTTTGGGAGACTGTAAAAATTTTAACATAAATTCCTATCATAATGCAAGCAGGAGCAAAGAAACCAACTGTAAATAAAAAAGCCCCCCACAGTTTGTTGAACACAATAGGGCACGAGCATTTAACTAGCTTTTCATAGCCCTCAATTCCAGAAGCATAAACTTCTGAGAAAACCACACCAAAAGCAAAAGCAGCAGGCACTGACCAGCAGACTGCTACAATTTGTTTTATGGCTGTGACAGTCATGGTGCTGGTGTAATGCAGAGGGTGGCAGATTGCATAAAACTGATCCACGGCAATGGAACAAAGATGGAAAACGGAAGCTAAACAGAGCATCAAGTCAAAACTGTAATGAACATTGCAGAATATAATCCCAAAAAACCAGCATTTCTCTACAGACCTCACCATGCTGTAAGGCATAATGGCAAAGCCCAGCAGGAAATCTGTGCCGGCCATGGATAAGATGAGGAAACTGACTGGAGAATGAAACTGCTTGAAATACGAGATGGAAATGATTATGGCCAGATTCCCTAAGATGGTGAGAATGAAGACTGCAGTTATGAATAGATATAGTACTTCTCGTACTCCTGCTGACCTAAAGCTCTCTGGACAAGATCTATTTCCAAACTCAGAGTATGAAATGGTACCTGAAATCTAGTAACTGGAAGCCATTATAAAATTAATTGCAAGTAATATTTAAAATAAAGCAGTTGAAAGTAAACTTAATTACCTTTTAAATCAATAAATTATATGACAATATAAATCTTATTTTGTATCTGGAGCATTTTGTAAAATGTCGTTCTTGTATTTTATACAAATTGTAATATTAGTAAATTTAAATCGATAGAAGAAAAACATGCATGGACAAAGAAACCTCTCAAGTAACTTCAATCTGAAAATATTATGTAACATTTATATGTCTCCTTAATCTTAGAATATTGATATTTTTCCTATAGGAGAAATGCTATGCAAACTGTCATACTTTAGCTTTCTTGAAGATTTCAGTTAATGAGCTACTCACCCAAATGATCATCTTAAGAGACACAAATCAGTTGCTAAACCCCCACTTTCCAAGCTATTTATGATGATAAACTCACCTGCTGTGCATTATAAAGTACTAGCAATGAACACATCTCATGGAAATCAGTTGTAAAATTGGTATGATAAGCAATATTCTTTTCTTTCCCTACATAGACACTTGTTTTCTATCATTATAATTCCACCAGCAAAATGGGTATGGAAGCAGGCTGAGGCTTATCTCCTGTACTGCACTGTGGTCCAGGTGCAGTAGTTATAAATGAATACACTAGTGAACAGTTTCAAGGGGCAAAAATTCTCTTCCTTTATTTGGGAAGAACCAGACCCATTTCTTCCACCTCTTTTCCTGATAATTTGTTTTGGACTAACAGCAAATTTAGAAATAAGAGCAGAAAGAGATACTCTTCTCCACAGCAATTTTACCCATTTAAAAGGAACATGGGAAGCAGCTAAGTCTACTGATCTTTTTTCCGGTAGGTATCACCCGAGAATGAGGAAAATACAAAGATTGTGCATCAAAATATTAAAAACAGATCTTGGCAGTCAGTTTTATAGGCTAATCCTCCCTGCATCTCTTTGAATTGTACCATAAATAAATTCTCTAAGTAGATATTTTTCTTTTCTGTTATTGTCCTGCAGAATTGCAAACTTGGTAACAGGCAGATCCCCTCTGTAACCTGGCTCTGATTCATGAAAGGTGGGAATTCATTTTTCTTTGTATGTATGTATATATGACATTACATTTAATTCCCAGTAGATTTTGAGCTAAACATATGTATGCAATTTAGGGGTTTACATCAACTGGAGATAAACAAAGCCAAGTGCCTGCATTGCCAACACCACTATTTTTATTTGTTCTATTAATTATCTACTCTCACATATACGGGAGCTCTTTTGGTGACTTAGTCATGTGACAAGTCATGTTGCACCTCATCATTTCCATGTTGGGCTTAGATATTGATTGAAGAGAACTATTTGGTCACTTATTAATAACTGCTTTTATTACTCTGGGCTTCCTTCGATAAAACAACAATAGAGAGTAAAAGACAAACTCAAGCTTACTCAATGAATTGTTTGATCCTGTTGGTAACTGAGAAAGTCCAAAGGGTATAGGATGCACTCTCTTTTCAGCAATCCCTCTCTAACTGACAGATACCTTTTAGTCAATATGCTATGAGTACTCGGTGTTGGAGGAAAATGACTTTTCCTATACCTATGGGAAATAAGAAGTCAAGACATCTAGAAGTGGGCTGTGGAGTTCTCATTGTCTAAGTTATGCTGTGGATTGGGTCTCTTAGGAAATTAATCTGTTTTACAAATTCTGTTGCATAATCATTTCATAGAAACATTTTCAATTACCCATGCAACTGGTTGGATTTAAGGTGGCAGCATGAAGAGGAAAAGATCTTATTAAAAACCCTACAAAGTAGAAAAATCAAATGTAGCTGGTTATGCAAGACCATGTAAAATTATGCAAGACTCAGTAAATATTAATGGAATTAAATATCATAGAATCACAGAATCATGGAATGGTTGAAGTTGAAAGGGTACATTCTGCCCCATCATCCAATTATTAATGAAGGTGTTGAAGAGGATTGGACTGAGTATTGACCCTTAGGGCACACCACTAGTTGCTGGCCTCCAACTAGACTTTTTGCCAAAGGTCAGCACCCTAGGGGCCTGACCAGTTTTCAATCTAATCCATTCAGCCCATTTTCAATCCACTTCATGGTCTTCTCATCCAGCCCCATACTTCATTACCTTCCTTGTGAAAATCTTAGGAGAGACAGTGTTAAAAGCCCTACTGAAGTCTAGGTAGACAATAACCACTGCTCTCCTCTTGTCTATCAGGCCAGTCATTTCATCATAGAAGTTTATAAACTTTATAATTTGTCTAATGGAAACAGATTAGTCAAAAAGTGCTTACAGGTAGACATAGTCTTTTTCCAAATCAAGTCTTTCAACGCAATAGTGTGGAAGTAGTAGATAATGAAGATGAGCAGAAAATCTGCAGAAGACTTTTGCAGAACATTGAGTCTTATGTTTGACTGTATCTAGTATTATCCCCCTTGTTGAATGGGTATTAATGCATTCTGGAGGACAGAGAGTGCACAGTGTGCATGACATAGATGAGTTAATGATTTAAAGAAAGCCATACACTTTGCAATACTTATAGATTTTGAGAGCTCAATTTTTCCATTTGAACACTGCACTAATGTATTTTTTTTAATCTAGCAGTTTAAAATACTCCCATTTTAGAGGGATGATTTCTCTGTGAGGTTTCTAGAAGGGACTTTCTTGGTGTTCCTCCTCTTTCCCTGTCCTCCTGCATCTGGTACCTGAGAGGCTATGAGATTTGGACACAGGTGGCACCACCATGCATGACGTAGTCCACCAAAACATGAGCTACAGGGACTAAGGCAGGATACAGGCAGCAGTTTAGGACTCTGAAATTTGCTGTCAGTTTTGTACAAAGCATGAGAGGAAGGTGACATTGCAAAAGGTGCTCACTGGTGGCAAAATGAACGGATGGAAGGTGACTGGTGAATCAGAGACTTTCATCATGCTGGAGTAATTGCTTTGCACAAGTTTTCGGGGAAGTTAAGACATATGAAATCACCCATGGGGGAATAATTCTTTTTGCAAAAGGTAGCCAGCTGGGAATTGTTTAATAAGATCACTAATTAAATGTGTTGATAAGGAATTTAACAATACCATTTGCGCATCATTTGCATTATGATACTTTGAAATCCCAGTATGGTGTATTCTGTTTCACCAGACCTAACTCATAATCTGATTGGACAGCAGCAAGAGGCATTTTTCTTGTGCTGTCCTTATTTATCCATGTTTTTGGTTCAAATAGAGTCCCTGTGGCCTCATTAACATATCTCATTTGTCCATCCCCCTCACAGTGAGAAAAAGCTTTGTGCTGTCTGCGATTAGAGCTAATGAGACAAAGTAACCTGGGACTTCATTACAGTCCCTCTGCTAGAGAAGGTTCTCTGTAAATAGAAAGCAAGGAGGCGCTTTGGGAAAGTGCCACCTTTAGGTAATAGGACACTAGAGGAAAAAGTTATTTCTGGAACTTTCTGAGCTGGGCTGTGCACAAAGCTGGCTAATGTTGTAGGTTATTAAGAAAAAGGAGTACTGTCTTCCAGCTATAGATGAAGGTCACCAGCAATCTGTGTGTGGAAGGCCCTCAATTCTGCAGAGAATAAATATTGGTTACATCTTGGCTAGACTAGCTTGCCACAGAGTTGTTGATCTATACACTAAAAATTTCTTCTTCTATTTCCATTTATACTCAATAGATTGTGGTGATCTTGTGCAGCCACAATGTTTGGATGCCTTCTCTACTGGTTTTGGCTGAGATAGGGTTAATTTTATTTATAGCAGTTTGTTTGGTGTTCTGTTTGGGATTTGTGATGAAAAAGAGTGTTGATAAACACACATGCAATTCCCATTTTAGCTAAGACTGAGCAGTGCTTACACAGTCCTAAGGTCTTCTCTGCATGTAACCTGGGGGAGCACAAGAGGTTGGGGCCCCAGCTGACCAAAGAGATACTCCACGCCATATGATGTTATGCTCAGCAATAAAACCTTAGGAGAAGGAGGAACTGGGATATTGAGAGTTAGAGTGTTTGTCTTCCCAAGTAACCAACCCTGCTTTCCTCGAAATGGCTGAAGATGTGCTTGCAGATAGGAAGTAGTGATGAATTCCTTAATTTGCTTTGCCTATTAAATTGTCTTTATCTAACCCACAATTTTTATGACTTCAGGAGTGTGGTTCTGGTTTCTGTGGTTTTCTAATTAGCTTTCCACTAGGGTCTAGGCACAGACTGCAGAGACATGCTCTATTTGAACTACCATCCATCCCACAAGCAAGTTGGGATCACATTCACTCGCAAACTTCTCCTACAACCAGAAAATAATGCCAGAGATATGCCAGAATAAGTGACAGCGTGACCAGTTGTGAACTCTGGTAGAGCTGGAATTCTCTGGAAACACAGTAATGTTTCCAGATTTTCAGGGAGGTAGACAACGGATGAAGGGAAAGAAACTACTTCATTGACTTCCTGAAGGGACTATGTCAATATGTGCTGAACTTACTAAATATACATTAAAAAGTCTCAGATGGGCAACATTTTTCATAGACAATCTATCTTTTCTTCAATCTATAATACCACCAGAAGAAAGGAAGTATCACCTGGCAGCACTTCTGAAACTGTTATTTTAAGTGAGATCAAGGTGTCCAAGTGATCACATATTTTATTTCAGAAGGTAACACTGAGCATGAGAAAATTACTGCATCAGGCCAGACTCACTGGAGATGAATGAAGAAGAGAATTACCCATTATTTATCAGAAAGATAGATTTTTTTAATTTCACCTTACTTTATTTTTGTGAGATAAAATATTAGTCATATTGCCATTAGCAAGGATCCACAGCACAAGTGCAGATGCGGGGTATATTTCATTGTTCCTTTTTATGTCATTTTGGAGAGTACAAACTTTACAAGATGGCAATGAAACAGTAAGAGAGACAATCTCAGACCCTGATATTTTGCGCTGCAGAAATGTGTCATCATAGAGTGTTTGAGTGCTCTACAAATTACAGAAAATAAAGACAAGATACACACGTGATGTGCACTTATACAACAAACATAAATGAAGGGCATACTGCTTAGTGTAGTTCTTACTTCAGTACAGTCACCAATTTCTCTCCATGGTCGCTTCTCAGATACTAATCCTTTCCTGTCCATTGCCACTACTGGTCCTTCATAATCCAACTGAGTTCAACCACAAGATTTCTTCACAATTCTCTATATAGCTTTTTTGTAATTGCTTTTCATTTTGTACATCATATTTTTCCTTGTCTTTGATCTTGTTAAACATGCTTTTGATCTCATTAAACAGCAAAGCCTTTAAGTGACAAAGCACTAGTTGAAATGAAAACATAAGTGACATAGCAAATTTAAGTGACAAGCACTAGTTGAAATGAAAACAGATAGAACAGCACAACTTTACTCTGTCTCATCTTCCCTCCATTGAGTGTGCTGGTATGGCTGGTTATTGGTCTGTTTAAAACTCTGCACAAATATTGAAGAGGAGGGAAAAAACTTAATGAGCTTTGGGTAATTGCTCAAAGATGTAAAGAAATTCAAAAGAAAAGGTTTTTCCACTCTTTCTGGATGACAACAAATGAACACAAATATTGTAATATAAATACACCTTGTTCAAGAAATTAATCTGTTGTGTCAGAATAGTTTTTTAATGATTAAGATCAGGTATGTAAACTGTTGTAAGTTTTTTTAAGCACGTCTTGCTCTTCTGCACATTGAAAATAAATAGACCTAATCAAAACATCACATACAAATCCCAATCTGGAATGAAATAAGACATAAAGCACAATTGCTTATCTGCTTGAATTGGATTTGGTAAATGGCTAAACAAATAGGTGTTTCGTTCCTTTTCAGATCTTACATCAGGAGTTCAGCCTCCAGGCAAAAGTTCTAAGCCATGAATCCAACCGTTTAAAGCATGTTAATCTGAAAACAAATGAGACCTGGAAGAGTCCTGTTGAAAAATTTTTCCAAACAGAATAATTTTTAATGCCCTGCGAAACCACATGTAAAAAAATGCATAAACAATTGGATTAAGTGTAGAATTTAAATAGCCAAACCAAACCAGAGCATCAATGAGAATAGGAGGTATCACATAATTCATAAATGGATTGGTAGCTGTAAAGAAGAAGAATGGAGTCCAGCAGATGAGAAACACCCCCATTATTATGCCTAACGTCTTAGCAGCTTTCCCTTCTTTGCAGAATGAAATGTGATTCTTCATTTCAAATTGCACCTTTTTTTTGCTAATTGCATCAATGGATCTTGCCTGCTTCTTGGCTACAGAGTATATTTTCCTATAGATGTACAGCATAACAAATCCAGGGATGTAAAAAGATACTACAGAGGCCACAATACCTGAAGTTTCACTAAAAATGAGAAGGCATCCTCCTGCACAATGGACATGATTATAAATCTTTTCTACCCCTCTCAAGTTCAGGTCTAGAAAGATCATCCCAAAAGCAAAAGCAGCAGGGACTGTCCAACTTATGAATACCATGACCACAATAACAAAAGTATTTATCTTGGATTTGTATCTTAAAGGATCACACACAGCATAGTAACGATCAATGGATATGAAGGAAAGGTGGAAAATAGAAGCTGTGCTCAGCATAATGTCCATGCTTGTGTGGATCTTGCAGAAGAGCTCCCCAAAATACCAGCAGTTCTCAACAGAGCGCACCATACTGCAAGGCATGATGAAGAATCCCAGCAGGAAGTCTACTGTAGCCATTGAAAGTATCAGGAAATTAGTAGGCGTATGGAGTTGCTTGAAGTGTGATATTGAGATGATAACTGTCAAATTTCCAACCACTGTGGCTAGAATAATGCAAACCATGAAGATATACATGGAAACACGAGTACTGTTTGACCAGCTGCTCCTTATGCAAGAACTATTTACAGATTCACAGCACGGTTGCATCCTTACTGGAGTCTCAAATCCACACAGGTATGCAGAACAAGTACTGTTTTTCCTAATGCTGAAGTAAATTTACAACGGTTTTTTCCACTTCTATATGGGGAGAGCTGCAGAGATGGAAAAAAAATGGCAATTTTAAACACCTTCATTTAATTGGATGTGTAGGAAATTCACATTTCATTATTTATGAAGGATGAACACTGTGCAGCCTGCTGAGACCAAAAAGTTTCCACAAGCCTTGTTTTTCAGGCAAATGGCACTGACTCACCAGATCAAGTTTTCCTGAAAAATTCTTGCAGGCTTTAGCTGTAAATAGAGATGTAAGCAAAAGATCTAAGAGGAGAAAAGATCTTTTCTGCCCTTTTGCTGCCAAAATATAATGGAGGAACCTGACTAATCTGAAACATTATCTGCTGTATGAGCAAATATGTTTTCTGCTGGGCTGCATTATTTTCAGTGCTAGTAGTTTAGCCCTGTTACGAGTATTTATTATGTTAATACTGTTTTTAGCCAAAGCACAAACATGGAAAGAAACATTTTCTGAACACAGGTTTAGTTTGCATCTGAGGACACACATATTGCTGTCCTCTTGTGTATGCGGTAGCCTGTCCCTTTTGCAACTCTCTTTATGAAAGCATCTAATGAAAGTACTTAAGCACTTGGCAAGTAACATTCATTGTTGAAGGATCTGGTTTTCTTTTAATTAACAGAAAGATAGTGTTATTGTGAAAAATAAAGATCATTAGCATATGCTATTCAGTAGCACTACATTATAGTATAATATGATTGTTTAGGTCAGAAAAATACTGACATGGCACTTCAGCCAGGACTAATTTAACCCATATGCTTTGGGACTTTGCTGCCTCTGGTTATTTTAGGTAGAACAGAACAAAATAACAAAAACATTTTCCCATATTGAAACAAATGTTATCACAAACACACCATGCCACTGGAAGCTAAGTGAATATAAATGATAAATGGTTGCTTGCAAATCCCTGACAGCTACCCTGTGTTATAGAGAGGGATTTTCCAAGTAGGGCCAGGCAGTGACACCTGAGTGCCAGGGACAAGGTGCATCCAAACCTACAGGAAATGTGAAATCTGAAAAGGTTTATTTATTTATTTGGTTGGTTGGTTATTTATTTATTTATATTGGGGTGTTTGGCTTCCCCTTTTTTTTGCCTACTAATGTTTAACACAATCTCAGCTCTTTTTCAACTCACTGTAACTATCACTTCATATACCTTTTCCTTCACTTTTTGTCAGTCTCTTCATGTTTCTTTTCCTGCCTGTCATTCCTTATTTCATCATTTACACCAAGGCGAAGAAAACACAGCCAGTTGGATACTCATTAACACAAATTTTCAATTTTCACAGTAGAAAGAATTAAACACCAGTTTAGCTGTATATACTGGGCATCATTATAAAAGTTTTAAGCCCATTAAGGTTATAAATGTGTTACATAGATTTTGAACTTCATTTGTTCTGTATGGTAAATTAATTAAGTGAATCTGGTAAAGAGTCTATGAAGCCAACTAAAAAGAATTAACATGTTATCTCTAGTTTTCTTTAAGATTAAAAATTTTAATTGCTTCTCTGTTGTTCTCTGATAGAAAACTATTTAGCCTAAAGAAATATGATCTCCCCTAAAAATTGCTTTTCTTTTAAAAAAGCAATATTCTCAGGGAAATTTTTATTTTTTTTTAAACAATAGGACGAAGCTCCAAGCAAAGGATGGAGGAAACTCCAGCCAAAGGATGGAGGAAACTGAGATCAAGTGAGTGGCTTTGCATGAAATGGAAAACTGTGACAAACTGTTCAAATGAGTTGACCTCTGAAGAAGTGTTCAAAAAGAAAGCAGAATACTTCCCTTCCGTATATAATTACAAAGGTTAAAATTTAATAAAATGGAATTATGAAGAAACATACATTTAAAAATCTGTTCTCCTACCTTTCTCTCTTTATGCTGGGTAGATTTCTGCTCTTGATGCTCATTTGTTTTCTTCTTGTTGAGTGGCATTCCTTCCTTCTAAAGACTATCTCAAAAGGCAGCTGAACCTCTTCACCATCATAACAGTTCTGGGTTTTAATCCACAGCTGGAACAGCCTCCAGAAACCCCTCCACATTGCTGGAGGGTGTTGGTGATGAATAATATTCTTGGCTGAATAATATTCTTTGACTCAGGAGCAGCTGTGATATGAATACTAGCTCAAACTGTTTATTTTGCCACCCACTTAGAGAACAAAGCCATGGCTGTTACACTTATACTTGTTTAATGGGCCTTATTTATAGGTATATTGAAATCATTTGAAGTAAGTTTACTTGTTCGATTAAACATTGTGGTCACATTGTGAGCAGCCTAATATTATCTAAGTAAAGAACAAAAGACACCATGTAGTCCCCCTTCTCTAAGTAATATACATAAGTATAGGTAGGTTACAGCAGTATGTAAGATTTTCCTGAAAAGGCATATTGTGAACAGAGTGACACGGAGTGTATTTACCAGCCTATTTCTGATTACTGAACAAATAGGCTGAATCTAATAGCCTCATCAGTTAACAGCTATTTGCAAGATACAGCTACTGAAAAAGTGTTTTAAGTAAACACCTATTATTGGCTGTACCAGACTCACAGATAAGAAGCATCAATTTTTTGTTCCACAAAGGACCTTGCAGCCTTTTAAAACAGTGATACTGCTGAATATCAAAGACTGGTGACCATCAGCTAAAACCCAGTTATCCTGGATGCCTCAGGGGCATATGGAACATGGTAGATTAAGATACTACCTCTTGCAAACTACTCTGATGACCTGGATTAACTGTGTTTATGTTATGTGCTCAAAAATCAAAATTAATGCAAGCAACTCAGTTTGGTTTTTTTTTGAGCCTGCACTCATAGACAGACTGGCATATTGCACTGCAAGGTTCTCCTTGCTATGGGAAGAGAGTGTTCCAACAAAAAAAAGTGCAGAAAAAATGATGGGGCTGAGTGAGAAACCACTTGAGAGAATTGAGAGAGTATGTCAAGGAGAGGAGCCAGGTCCGATTTCTCAGATTTGGGGGAATGTGAAAAAAACATTTTACATACCCAAATACTGGACTCTGAAAGAGGCCTTCACCCTTCTGAAATGCAGAGCTGTGTGCTTCCTTGCAGCCAGGTACTCCTCTTTGAGGAGTGAAGGTTTAGGGCTTGGTAATTCCTGTCTTGACATATACATTTTGTAGGAAGGTAAAATTTAGGGGAACAAATCCATGTTGCCTTACTCTGTGCAGAACTTGTCGTTATTAAGAAGTCTGGTGGCCAGCTCATTTTGGGAACTTAGTCAAAAGCCACCCACACATGCACACACTGCTCTCCTTCCATGCCCTCTCCTTTGAGTGATGCAGGGGCCAAAACTCAAGGGAACAATCTGAAAAGGCAGCTCTGTTTCAAGTGATTGTTTCAGAGGCACCTCCCTGGCAGCAACTAGCAAAACTTTGGGGGACTCCCTGGGTCGGGGGAGCCTTCTCCTGCCCTGAGCAGGTCTTCCCTGCTGCAGACAGGCAGGCAGCAGCCAGCTATGGAGTGTGGGTTTTGCTCTGCCTCCCCTCAGGGCCAAGCTGCAAGTCTGGTCAAGGAGCTTTTCCCTCCAGTTCCTGGCTTGCAATAAAATTCAATTACAACTTGTCATTCTTTCTCTTACATGTGACATTTCTCCAGGACACAATCTGCTTCTTTTTAAACCTGCTGAGGACTTTGGAAGTGTTAGGGGTTCTCAGGGAGATGAAATAAAATGAAGACGAAGAGTCAAAACCTCATGATGCAAAACAACATGTTGCAGGGTTTGTCAGATATACTGGCCATACGACAATTGTGTCTTGTCTGCCTGCACTGTGTGCTTGACACTGGAATGTGCTGGTGGCGGTGAAGTTCAAATAAGAAATCTGAGGGCAGCCAGTTTGAGCACAGGTCCCTTGGACAGGCCATGTTTGCTCTCTTGTTGACTACCATCAATGCCTATATACTTTGAAATAACTGAATTTATTTTAAAAGTTAGAAATGCAGAGAAAGTGACCTGGTGACATTAAAGGACAATTTTGTCCCTGCTATCAATGCGACTGGGCTCTCATCTTGACTTCACCTCTAAAGAAGAAAAGCCTCATCTGTGGAGCCGGCCAGCCTTCCTGCTCCTACCAAAATCCTCTTGGGGCCAAGGGTTGCAAAACACCTACTATGTACTTTGCAAAACATAGCAGGGGGACTGCTCTGGGGCTGGTTGGTAAGCACGACTTCTCTCAGCAGGGATGGGAGTGGCATGGGGTCCAGGAGGGGCTCCTCCAGGCAGGAGGCTGCCTGCAGCTGGAACTGCTGGAGAGCACACCATGAAGTCTCTGTATAGACTGTTTTGGGAGATGCCCTTCACTCTTCTATCAAACACAAACCCACAGGCATAGTGTTTGGTGTTCAGTATCTCAGTACCAGCTTGTACTGCAAGACCCGCATACATTGGAAAGGACTGAACCACAGTTATAAAGGAACTGGGGAGGGTGGTATTTAAGGGTATGTTTGTTGGAATAAAAGTAAAGCAGCAGCTTTTAAGATATCAAGATAATTAAGCAGTTAAGCAGGCCAAAATGTCTGCTAATTTAGAGCAAGAAGGAACACTTTAGCAACAAGCTTTCATGCTGTTCGGGCAGATGCTTCAAACGGGCATTTTCTTGCATCTTAGTGCTGATGTGGATCATGAAAATATTCACAGACTTGTTATTTATAATATCAAAGAAAAATATGTCAAGCTCTATTTTTGTGACACCTCAAAGCACTTAAAAAGAGTCAGTGTTTAACAGTCTTTTGAATCTGTCACATAGTAAAGAAGCATCAAAATTCAAAGTAAAAACTTTTCTACAAAATTGTTGCTGTGGCTTTCTATTCTGAAAAATTTGTATTTCTGCAATAAGTAGTTTTCAGATTTTTGGAAAACCAACAAAAAGAGATGTCATAGTGTCTAGAATACCTTGGGTTTTCTACTCTTCTTATT